CAGCAGCTTCAGTAGCCATAAGCCTGTGATACCCAAATGTGGTTATTTAATATTTTATTCATTTATTTATTTTCAGATCTATTATATGGTATAGCCAGCAACAAGAAAAAAGTAGTAAAAGACAGAAAGCTTTGTCATAAAAAGAAAGGGAGAGAAAAAAAGGATTGGATTGGCAAAGGGCTCAAAGAAGAGTGAATTTGGGAAAGGTGTCTTCACCTTGGACAGACCTCAAACAAAAACCAAGAAAGAAAATCTGAAGGAACTGAGAGGACAGTTTTCACAGGCAAAGCTGGACAATAACATAGTTCAACAGATTTCAGCTGCAACATCCAAACCAGATCCTGTCACATCTCAATGGTTCAGATGGTGTTGGTGCCATCATGGTGTTTTTGTTATTTTCAGTTGGCACATTGTTGATTCTCCTCAAAACTAACAACATAATTCTACTCCACAGTTTTCCAGAGTGTTGTTTCTGACCAATTCCTTCCCTTTATTGTGAAAATAAACCCATCGTCTGATGACAGCTTCCACCAGGACAAGTTGTATTTTTGAGGATTATTTTTATTATTGGGACACAATTGTATTCTCAATCAACCCAAAAGACTCCTAAATATCAAAGTATCATATTTTTGGAAGTTGATGTGTTTTTTTTTTAGATTTGGCCATTTTATGAGGATGTCTGTGTGTGCAGGTAAATATTACTGTGCAGAATTATTAGGCAACGTAATAAAAAACAAATATATACCCATCTCATTTGTTTATTTTTACCAGGTAAACCAATATAACCACAAAAAATTCAGAAATAAACATTTGCGACATTCAAAAACAAACAAATCAGTGACCAATATAGCCACCTTTCTTCACCATGACGCTCTAAAGCCTTCCATCATAGATTCTGTCAGTGTCTTGATCTGTTTGTGATCCACATTGCGTGCAGCAGCCACCACAGCCTCCCAGACACTGTTCAGACAGGTGGACTATTTTCCCTCCCTGTAGATCTAACATTTCATGAAGGACCACAGGTTCTCCATGGGGTTCAGATCAGGGGAACAAGGGGGCCATGTCATTATTTTTCTCCTTTTAGACTTTTTCTGGCCAGCCACGCTGTGGTGTATTTAGATGCGTGTGACGGAGCATTGTCCTGCACGAATATCATGTTTTTCTTCATTGATGGCGACATCTTCTTGTACCACTGTTTGAAGAAGGTGTCTTCCAGAAACTGGCAGTAGGCCTGGGAGTTGATCTTGACTCCATCATCAACCCAAAAAGGTCCCACAAGCTCATCTTTGATGATACCAGCCCATACCAGTACCCCACCTCCACCTTGCTGACGATCCAGCCTGGTACCCATCCATCCATCCATCTGGCCCATCAAGACTCACTCTCATTTCATCAGACCAAAACACCTTGGAGGAATCAGTCTTCAGATATTTCTTGGCCCTATCTTGATGTCTTGTTTTGTGTGTTTTGTCCAAAGGTGCCCTTTTTTTTTTTTTTAGCTTTCCTTACCTTCGCCAGGTCCCTGAGTGTTGAGCACCTTGTGCTTCTCGGCAGTCCAGACATGTTGCAGCTCTGAAATATGGCACAACCGGTGGCTAATGGCTTCTTGGCCGCTTCACACTTGACCCTTCTCAATTCATGGGGAATAATGCCTAATAATCATGCCATTGATGTCATTAGGCACTCATTGAACTCATTGATTTAACTGGAAGAAGTTGAACAAATGACTGACGATAGAAATCTGTATCTGTAGTAATGAGGACCTTGATCCAATCTGTTTTGTTTATTCCAGTCTTAGATTAACCTTGATGAATTCTTTAAAGCAAACAGAAAAAAAAAAACCTTAAAGAAAATTTGATCTTTGATTTTCCAAACATTGAATCTTTGGCTGCTAAGTGACGCATCTGCATCATCATTCATCAGCCAGTGAGTGTGAATAAAGGGCTGCCATGACTCATTCCGGCTAAATGAAGGTTTAAGTCAGCTTCGTGTTACATGGAGAGTCATGGCGTCACTGTTCCACATCAGATCATCTTAAAAAAGTGGAGAGACAATTTTATACCTTATATTTTAAAGGTTTAGTCATCATTTGATCTAAAAATCTCACATATGAAGTTATTAGTGAAGTTGAAGAAATGTTAAAGGAAAGAAAATGAAACTCCAGGACTGCAGGTGAACTGGCTTCGTTCACCTTTCCGCATATTTTTAAACATGTACCAATTATTTTTTTGTCATATTTGAAACATACAATAAAACAACCTGATCTAATGGCAGGCCACAAGAAAATCCTTAAAAGTTTTGTTTATTAAGCCATTCTGACATTGAAATAAAGCTAGCATAGAGTGGCGTTTTGTCTTCCAAGAGTATATACTGAAAATACTTTTTGAATTTCTAAAAGGAAAGAAGTAAGGTACTCGGTACTCAGTAGTATTTTTACCTAAAGTTTCACTTCTTCATGAGAAAAGATGTTGAAGTAATACTATCCCTAATATACGCTGGCTAATATAGCCAGTGTTACTGTATTAGCTTGGCTGCTAGCTAACCAAGCCAAACCAGGTGGGCCAATTACTTACATAATTGTACATATTTTCACTGCACAAAACATTTTTTTTTCAAGTTTTTTAAAGGTAGTTGAAAAAAACCCCAAAGGGTTTACCCTGTAGCATAAACTAGCTCAAATGCTAACTCACCAAAACATGTTTTGTTCACGGCAACGCAGCACATTAGACATATTTAAAAATATATATCAACTTCTCTTTAAGTCACTTCTTTCCAATTAATTTGGCCTCAATATTTTTATTCGGTTACTGAAATTTTCCAGGAGCTATGACATCACACTGCAGGTGTGTGAGGCGTTCAGGGGGCCTCTGAATTTTGCATGAAAGTGAACTTTATTTCATCCATGCACTCAGAATTTGAAAAGAAAGACAATAACTTGAATTTATTAAATTTAGTAATTACTAAAACCTCACAGTTGAAGCCATCTAGGAAAAAAAAAGAAACCACAATAATAAAATAAAAAAAATCAACAAAGTTTGCAGGATCGCTGGTTTATTAACAACACCATGTCTAACTTTAAGCAAAAGTTTACAAAACTAGACTCCAACAAACACAATACAAAGGTTTACAAGAGCGAACAGAGAAGAGTTATGTCTATGAAACATTTACGTTTTAAACAATAAATGCTGTTTAAGCAGCAGGATTCAACACAGCACACATTCATCGTCAGGCTTTGTAAATATTTTTTTATATCAATAAATTGTTTGTTGCTGTGGTTACATATATTGGTGGAGCTTAACGTAACGGGGCGGGGCATTCCCCACTTCTTTTCTATCCATCTTTTTACTCTTTTGCACGTGAAAGTGTAAGAAATTAAAAGGACCAAGCAGTGAAATTTTCACCAGAAACCACAAGAAACACCAGAGTCACAATATTCGGAGCAAACATTTTATAGGCAGTTTAACTGAACCTGGTTAAGTTTGGAAAAAATACAGAAAGAAGAAAGTAAAACCTGATTTAAAATAACTTCAATCTACTTTCTCAACTTTATTTTTTAAAAGGACTTTAAAAAGGGGGAAATTATATTAGTTTAACATGATTGCATTACTACCTTAAACTATCAATAAACATGATTTTCTTTAATGCTGGGTGGGTCTTAGTGAAAATAAAAAAGGGAATAAAGTTATTTATTAAAATCACATACAAAAGATTTTCTTTCAGTAATTTGGAAAATAATCTGTAGATTAAAATATGTCGAACAGTTTTAGTCTGTTCAGAATAATGATGTCATTGTAAACTTGTTGATATTTTCTAGCATCCTGCTGAAGAAAATTATATATAGGCCATTCAAATGTGATTCAGAAACATTGAATGTCTCCTGGTGTTGCACTTTAAATCATTTTATTAGCTGGGATGTTTTATTAATGTGGATTCCATTTGTAATTTATGATAAATTTTCCAGAACAGAATACGCTGCCAAATCGGTATACATTGTGCAAATATGCACAATGTGCAACAGAGAATTATTCCCTAATGTAATTTTAGCAGCAGCGTACAGATCAGCAAAAACATGTTTGTTTTAACCTTTAAAAAATAAAATCAGCTTTGATTTTACTGTTATTTTTCGGATGCACTAAAACATGATTGAGTTTCCTGGATGTTGAGAGAAGAAGCCTTTATAGTTAAAACTATATTAGTGTATATTCATCTAAAATAAGTTACTTTAGTAGTGAAAAAGAACGTGTGCGCGAAGATTATTTTTTCACGTTTAAAATCATATAAAAATTGGCTGTGGTTTATATTGTGACTCAATATTACATTAGTTTTGATAACAACCGAATCATATGTCAATCTGACAGCGTATGCTGTTTTGACATTGCAATGAGATTACTTCAACTAATTGATTTAATTAAAGAAATAAATCAAATTCTGCTTTAACATAAGTTTGAAATTCAAACTTGGACAATTCATTGGGAAAGAAACTAATTAAAGAGAGAAACACGGTTCTGTAGTATCATGGTTTGGGCCAAAAGTCTGCATGTAGGTCTGCATCTCAGGTTCCTGAATGATTTTTTTAAGTTTTCAGCAAACCTTATAAAATACTGTACTTTCAAAACATAAAAAGCAAGATTTAAGGAGTCAACTTTATTTATTTTTTTTGTTTGTTTGTTTGTTTTTTACTGCTATTTGTCTCCAAACATTAGATTTTTTTCCCTGCTCTTAGTTTGCTGAATAAAGTAAGAATTGCCTGTTTTGTAAACATTCAATGTTCTTTTTAAGAAAAGATAAAAAAAGAATAAAAGTTTATCATTTTAACCCTAAATTAAAGTTTCTCACCATAAGCACTGGTTTGGGTTTCTTTGTTAAAAATTATATCAAGTCCACAGTTAATTACGAAGTAAGAAATGAAAAAAGAATTTAAAAACAATAAATAATTATTAGAAGAGCAAAAAGAAACAGATTTATATATATATATAAAAAACAACAAATTAAAAGCTTAGGGTCAATTTATTTACTGTAAAACATCACAGAGAGCAAAGTTTAATTTCTTTAAAAGAAAAAAAGAAGGAAAGATAACGTGGGAATTTAATAAAAAGAAATAAATAAATGAAGTTAGAAACGTTTCTGCCCCAAATGTAGGAGAGGTGAGAAAATGAGAAAGTATTTGAGGTCACGTTTGTGGAGAAACAGTGTTCACAATCAGCACTTTACACGACACATAAAAACGACGAGAGTTAAAAAAAAACAGCTGTATTATACAGACAATAAAATCCTCAAAAAACAAACATATCTCACAGTCTACACACTTTATCGATTGTCACAGTAGCGCCTTTTTACAACACGGTTTACTCACTAAAACAGATTCTTAAATGCAGCAGCCTCCTGCGGCGTGAACACGAGGCCAGACTAGATGTCACTATGTGGACTGAAATGATGACCTGATGACCTCACTCCTTCGGGCTGAGGTTTGACTCTGTGACGAAGCTCTCACGCATGCTGCAGTTTTCACACCCGCCTGCAGAAACACGAGCTGCTAGCGTGAACATTTGGTGGCGCGTTGCTGTAAAAGTGTGTTTTTAAAACGAAACCCTTCATGATTCCTGCCGGCGTCTCAGACTGGACAGGAAGAAAACAAAAACAAAGGAAAACTAGAAATGTGAGTTCATGGCGAGCTTCTCTTCTTTAGCTGCTGCTACATTTGCTGGACCTGTAGGTTTGATGTCACCTGACAAAAGCTGGGGAGGGTGGAATGAAAATCATTGAACCATCTTAAACTGGTCCCAGTAGCCAACTGGCTGGATTTAAGTGACCTTTGGACCTCATTTAGATTGGATTACCACTGGAGGTGGTGTATAAAAATCTCTAAAGATCAGGAAAAAATATCTTAGGAACTATTGCGACACTGAAATGTTAATGTGAATTTAAAGACATTTCAATTAGTGGAAAAAATTGCAGGGGGGAATATTAAAAAAAAAAGTCTAATCAAAACTGTCGCGACCCCCATGCAGTACCTCTGAGGACCCCCTAGGTGTCGCGGACCCCCTGTTGAAGACCTCCACCCTAAACCTAATACCTGGTAGCTCCATCCCTCTAATGATTGCCCCCCTTCTCTTTGCAGAATTGTTGTAATTCAGCCACATTGGAAAGGTTTCCCAGCATTGATATCCTGTTTGATCCCATTTAACTTCAGATTTTTTAGCCCAATTAGAGGTCAACTTTCTGCCATTCTTTGGATCGTTGTTCCGACGTCAAACCGAAACGTGCTCGACTTTAAAGTCCAACTCTGATGGAGGACAGCAGAGAGCAGAATTCAGTTTTCCATCCACTGCGGCTAAACTCCAACACATGCTTAAACAAGCATTGTGTTCTTTCAGGCACGGTGGAGGAAGACTGATGATCTGGGCTTGTTTTGCAGCCAGATGACTAGCAGTGAATTTTATTTAATTACTTTATTATTTTAATTTCTTTCTTTTTTAAAGAAAACATTTTTATTTTTTTTTTCAGATTGAGTTTCATGAATTGCATTATTTTCAAATTACGTTTTTCCTGATCAAACTCTCTTCACTTCTAGGGGCGGGATTTCCTCTGGAGTGAGGAAAGAAGATGAATTTCTATTGGTCTGCTGGAAGTTATCAACATTTTCATTGGTCAAGAGCCAGCGTCTGGAATGGGCTTGAAGTGAAGAGAATGTGATGCAATTTGAAAAGAAAGCAAAACGTAAAAATACATCTGAAAAAGTGGAGTTTGAAAAATAAAATTAAAAAATTTGTAAAAATGAAAAAAAGTAAACATTAAGTAAATATAAAATCTCTAGAATTTAATTTGTAAATTTAATTTTAGAGAGAAAACAAATCTGGGAAAACAGCCAATTCCCTCTCCAAACCTGTTTTGGATTGAAACGTTTTGAAGTTTCATTTCTTGATTGCACTTTTCTCACATTTCCATTTATAAAATGTGTTCTTTGCAACATTAATGGACCAGAAATCTATCCATACAGAACCTGGTAGGAACCTCTGATCACTGAGCGGACCTCCTCTCTGGGGTCAAATGTCAAACAATGGACCAAGCAGAGTGGTGACCCCAAACAGACTGAGAGTCTACATCAGAATGGCTGAAAAGGGGAACAGATGAGGTTAAAAAAAAAGGCCCAATCACTTTAAACCCTAATAGTGAAACAGAATTTCAAGGTTCTGATAGAATAAACCATCTGTGATGTTTAATGACTGAGCTAACCCTCCACCTGGACATTCCACACGGGTCCAATCTGACAGGGTATTCCAGCTTTCGTCAGGGGAGACCAATAAATGCTACAAGTGGGAGTTTGTGTCCATTTAACAATGTTGGTCGACTGACAGCAACTGCTGCATTTTGCTCCGCTGCTCCTCTTCCTCTTTAACACCTTCAACGACCACCAGCGCCTGCGTAGAGTCACATGACTGCTTCTCTGCGTCCTCGTCGTATGTTGAATCCAGCGGCCGTCCTCCAGAAGCTCCCCTTCTTTGTAATTTAGACGCCACTGCACCCACGCAGGCGCGTGTCGCCAGTGCTGCCAACTCCCCTCTGGCGAGCGGGTTGAAGAGGAGGTAGAGGAGGGGGTTTATGCAGGCCGGTAGCGGCGCCACGAGCAGCAGGACTCCTTTTGCCGCCTCTGGCCCGGCGGCGGGGAGCCGCAGGAGGGAGGAGAAGGAGAGGAAGGCGACTGGGAGGTAAAGGAGGCAGTCGGAGAAGAGCAGCCAGGCGACGTGACGAGTCAACGCCGCCTCTTCGTCTGAGGCGGGCAGAGCTTTGCCGGCATGGCAGTAAAGGCGAGTGTAGGCCAGCGTCATGACGAGGAAACAGAGGGAGTCGAAGAGCACCAAGGAGACTGAAAAGGCCATGGAGGAGGACGAGGAGGACGAAGGGAGGGGCAGACAGAAGGAGGAGCTACTCTCACCCACCACCAGCGGAGGCAGGGTGATGATGAAGCCCAGCAGGAAGCACAGACAGACGGAGAAACGGATGAAGAGCGGCGACATGGAGTGACCTGCGAAAACAGAGGCGAAATTAAAACAAAAAGATTTCTCGCTCGGACAAATAAAAAATCCAATACTTTAATTCTCCTGATTTTTCCTCCAACATGAGGCGTTCTGAGCAGAACCTTCCGCGATATTCAGCTTCCTGTATGATTGTGGAAAATGTAAATGTTGTAAATAAAGAGCAAACATTTTTCAGAACCCACAGCCGCTATGGAGGAGCTCCAGAGATCCACAGCTCAGGAGTGGCTGGGACTGGGGAGGAGGTTCACCTTCCAGCCACAGATGCAATGATGGTTTGGATCAAAGCATTTTAATTCAATTCAATTCAGTTTATTTATAGAGCGCCAATTCACAGCACATGTCATCTCAAGGCACTTTACAGTTCACCAGATCATAAAACCAAATGGATTCAAAGTTTTATATCTAAGGAAAACCAGTTGATTGCATCGACTCATTGACTCAAAGGAAATCCCTCACACTAAGCATGCTTGTGGCGACAGTGGAGAGGAAAAACTCTATTTTAACAGGAAGAAACCTCCAGCAGAATCAGGCTCAACCGAAAGGTTGAGAATGGCCTAGTCAAAGTCCAGACCTAAATCCAGTAAAAGTCCTGTGGCACAACAATCTCCACATCCAATCGGAGCTTGAACTGTTGAGCTAACTAGAACAGGAACTTGTTCCCCACGTCTTGTGTGTCAGAGAGGCAGAGCGTCAACAGTGATATGAATACCTTAAAGCAAGGGTAACCAATTTAAAATCATTGGGGTCCGAATAAAGAATATCAACAACCAGTAAATGTCTAGAGACATTTTTGATTATAATCTGTTACTTTAAACAGAATTTAACGCTGAAATAAAATCCACGTTAGACACTAAATTTGTAAATAAAAATGTATAAAAAAAAAAGAAAGGCATTTTCCCATTTTAAAATCTAAAGGGTTTTTGAAGTAGAGAACAACAGTCGTTCAGTTTGGTATAGAGACAATTTCCTGATTGTGCTGCTGAAGATTCTCAGTTAGACACTGTCGTCAGACAACATGCGGTAATTTCTAAATGTTTTAAATCAGGTTTGGTCTGGATTAGCCAGCAGGTGGGTCCAGATCTGGACCGCGGTCCGCTAATGCATGACCTCTGCTTTAAAGTGACATGTGCCTTGGATTGGGATGATTTTGTTTTCTCTCACCGTTGTTGCTTTCGGTTCTGTTGCTCTGAGTTGCACCTGCGGCAGACAAGCATCGCTCCAGGGCCGCCAGCGTCAGCAGGAAGAGGCCGGTCTGGGATGCAAACACACACAGGAAGCCGCTGAGGCGACACAGGGAGCTGCTCTCCCACTCCACCCCGTACCTGCCACAGATGAGGATTTAAAGACCGAACAGGCAAACAGATCAGGTGGTTTTCATTCCACTCAGATTTCATTTCAAACCTCCAGAAGCTGCCGAACGTCCAGGCGTCCACCGCCGCCAGCCAGCCGCCCCACACGCCCATCAGCCCGTTCACCAGAGCCAGCAGGCCAATCAGGAGCTTGGGGGGTGTGACCCTGCTTGCTGGAGAAAAGAAGACGGAGAGGACCACAAGACCGTTGCTGACCAATGAGATTCCAGCGATGAGCCAGACCCCGCCTCTGATCATCCAGCTGCCAAGCAGACGGAGGCAGGGACGAAACGGTCCTGAGAGAAAGTCAAACCGTCACTTTAAAAACAGACAAACTGGCAACCTCCACCAAAACCTCCTCATCTAGTCAAAAGATGACTACGTTCTCAATAGTTTGAAATTGTACAACAAACTGAAAAGTCTTTATATAGAAATACTTTAAAAAGGTAAAACAATCCGCTGCAGGATGAGGGTCATGAGAAATTTGATGTAACTTCTTGTTACCTGGAGTTGGGCTGCAGTGAACAGAGTGTTGAGGTTTGGGCTCGTCTTCAAACTGCATGAGAAAATCGTCCCAGTCCTGGTCCACTGTGGACATAAAGCCGTAGGTCAACGTCTGAACTCAAAGCATTTCCATTCATTCCTCGAAGGAACACATTCAGAACTCCAGAACTCCAGAACAAAAAAAGCCATTTTAAATTTTAAATTCGTACAGTTATATGTTTTGAACAAACATAAATCACCAATATTTGAACAACTGAGTATAAATGTTCAAAAACAAATACCTAAAACAGAACTTGGCAATAAAGCATGTCCTAAATTCTACAAAAATGTAGATATAAGATATTCAAAAACAGATTTGGCTCTCAGAGCTCCACTCCAAAAGCTCTCAGGTCCTTTAAAGCAAAAACTAACTTCACAAAAAAAAGAAAAAATTCATAAAATCACCATCAACATGCGTTTTTGTGCTGCTCAATTTGATTTAAATATATAATTTTCAAATATATAAGTTTTAAATCTGTAACAAAGAAAGAGGAGGTGAGGCCCATCAAAGCTGCGTCCTCGGGACACTTTTATTCAGTATCTCCATGTTTTGATAAATACATTTGAATGTTTTAATAATGTTATTTGTATTTGGTCTTCAGTTCAGGATCTATTTTTAATTAAATAATAGCACTTAAAGTGTATATACTTACAAACATACATACATACATACATACATACACAACAATCATTACTGAAACAAGGACTGCAGGAACACAGCAGGAACTTTGGGGCTTTTTAAATGTGCAAACGTCTCTGATGTGGAGGTTCACCTTGGCTGGAAGGGAAAGGAGGATCTATTGCAGTGGAGTCTGCTGCTTCCTCCCTCTCCCAGGATAAACCTCCTTCTTCTCCTCCTTTCTTCTCACAGGAGATGAAGGCACAGCATTGGAAAGCATAAGGAAGCTCCATCACCCTGAGGAGACACTTGCAACTCTTAGCATTTATTGATAGAAGTTTTACAGCATAAACAATAAAAGGCTAATTTACACCCAGGAACATCCTGTTATATTTGCACAGAGTAATAAAAAAAGAAATCAGTCATCAGCGAATCAGAAACCATCATGGTTTTGGTTCTGTTTAAGTTTTGTCTTTGCGTTTTCTTTAGTTTTATATCCATTTTGTGTTATTCTAGTTATTTTTGATTGTATTTGAGTTCTTAGGCATTTCTTGTTTGCCCTCTGTTGCCCTTGTGTGTCAATCTCCTTTTCCTTAGCTCCCTTCTAGACAGCTCTCTCCACACCTGCTCCCAATCTGCTGATGAGCCTGGTCTTTGTTTCTGTCTCCCATGTATACACCTCCTGCTTAGTCATGGGCTGCATTCAAATGCATGGGCTGCGTCCTCCAAAGGCCAGATTCGTAGGCCAATTACGTCATAGTGCCGATAGTTGTTTTAATGGTGCAGATATGTGGCGGTAATGTTTGATTTATCTAAAGGTTTTTATCTTTTACTGGGTAAATGGGTTTGGCTGTAATTTAAGGACAGATTATAATATATATGCAGTGTGGGGACTATAAATCTGATAGGATTTTAATTTTTTAATTTCTGTTTTGCACAATTAGCTTAACTAAGTATTTTTTGTTGTTGAATATAAGAAATTTTGCAGATATATTTTTTATACATACATTGTTTAGATTTACTTATATCCTTCTACCCATTTTATGGAATAGAATACAAAATCTCTTTATTGTCCCACAACTGGGAAATTCTGGTGGTTACAGAAAAAAAAATATTATAGAAAAAAATGGTCACACAAATGTGGACCTTAGAAAAATATATAAGAATAATATACTAGTGAAGAGTTAAAATATAAACAATAAATTAATGTAAAGTGTTTTAACAATATAAAAATGTGCATCTGGAGATTAAATAACCAATATGCAGCTATGGACATTTTTACAGTAATGGATATTTTAAAACAGCAGCAACATCAGAAATGTGCAAAATGCATGTTATTTAACTGACTAAGGTTTCTATCATTACATTTGCTTTTATTTGTTCATGCTCCCGGTGGTTGGAACCTTTATTTCACCTTGGATTCTAATGAGTGTTCACTTTATGATAAAAAAAAGAAAAAAAATTAGAACATTTTCCTATTCTTTTCATTTCTTTGCCCTTGTTTTGAGTATTCATGGTTCTCAGTATTTTGTGGATTTGTGTTTTTGAATTTTTGCTTCGGCTGTGACCTTTTTAAAGTACCACCTTCAGCTTCAGTCTCTGCATTTGGGTCCTGCTCTCAAACCTCCCCCCAACCTGACAAATACCAAATAAATACTTTTTGGTGTAAATCGTCACCTGACTCGTGGCAGATCTTCTCGGGGTATTAACTCCATCAGCTGATCGTTTCCCACCAGCCGAATGCGAGTTAAACTCTGCAGACCAGTAAGAGGGAGAGAAGACAGCTGATTGGACGAAAGGTCCCTGCAGGAACACAAATCACTCCAGTTATTCACACCCAAAGTAATCCCATCAACAGGACCAGGACCTTAAAGCAATGCAGAAAACAAAAACTGAACAGAAAACTCACAGTTTGGAGAGAGCAGTCAGAGCAAAGAACGAGTTTGGCTCCACGGATGATAAACGATTCCAGGATAAATCCCTAAAAGCAGAAAAAGGAATCCCACATTAGTATAACTCGGCAATAACTGAATTAAGGTTTATGAACTGGTGGAAAAAAAGTAAAATGTTTTTCTTTTATGTTTCCAATGTGAGATCATTATTATTTATTCTATGCTTTTTTTTTAGGTGAGAATGTGTTTTAGTTAAACCCAAACATCTGATCGTTTGGTCAAAGTTTCACTAAAACTCTGTGGTGTCCTGAGACCAGATAAGTTTAATATTAAATCAACTGAAACCTTTTTCCTAAAACCCCATGCCTTCTTCCCTGAAACCTGAGCGCTGAATTATTTCCTGAGACCTGAGTGTCCTGAAATGTAGCGCTCCCTGTATTCTAGATGCGTGTTGTAAAAGTGAAATATTTTCAGTATTTGTTGGTGTTATTTGGATGATTAGCTATTTGCTAACTGCTACCAGGAGCAGCAGGGTAACTCCCTTGTTGACTTCGTGTCGTGGCAGCTGCTCCACCAACCAGCGGACCACCTTGATAGGAGATCGGCACTTCCATTTGGAAGCACTTAAAGTAGATTACAGTTGGATCATGGGTCAGGATCCAAGGACTAATTAAACCTTCAAAGCGTGTGTCCTTACAGTGAGCGAAGGCTCATCAGCCCCGTGAAGGTGTTCTCCCTCAGCTCCTCTATCTCGTTATGGTGAAGATCACTGAAACACAAACACACAGTGATCAGCCAACAGTTTTTCCATGGGTCCACCTTTATCTCCTCCACCAAAGCATTTTCATTCCTTCTGATTTGCCTTAAACAGACAACGGCGCTGCTAATTATTCCCATGATGCACAGCTGGATGCATTTTACCGGTTGCTATGGTAACCAACAACTTGATAAATGCGCTTAACAGGCTTCAGAGGCTGACAAAGGAACCCAGAAACCCCAGAAAGAGAAAGATAAGCTTTAATTAGATAAAATGAAGATAAACCTCACATCTTCTGGAGGCTCTCACAGCCAGAGAAGCTTGGAAGAGTCTGGATCTTGTTATACGAGAGGTCGCTGCAGACACAAAGACAGTTTTAGCTGTCAGCAGCTGTCAAGGATGTCCGACACACCCTAAGCGGATCAGTGTGCAGCACATGAAAGTGGAAACATTTCTGCTTGATGGTGAGAGGCTTACAGCAGCTGGAGGTTTGGAAGCTCCTCACACATGAAGCCGGGTAGAGAAGTGATCTGAGCTCCAGTGATGGTCCTAAAGCACAGATAGGCAGACAAAAGGAAACCTGTAACATCTGTTTATATACCCTTTTTACCCTCATCTAGTCCTACTTAATCTATATGTGTATGTAACCTTTATTTAACCAGGTATGTCTCATTGGGCTTACAAATCTCCTTTACAAGCGAAACGTCTGCCTAATTAAAGCTACGGTGATTTTGATCCATCTATCAAATTGGACATGGATTTTGAAAAGTGCTGGTCCAATACTGGTCTTATAAATACTTAAAAAGCATAAATTAACAGTTTTATTGTGTTTTTTCATAATATTATAACACCATATTTAAATGTTATCGAGCAGCATTGCAGATGAAGAAGCTTTAGAAGGCAAAATTTAATATGCTTTAAAGGCTAAATGGTAAATGGTAAATGGCATGTACTTATATAGCGCCTTTATTCAAGTTAGGAGACTTGACCAAAGCGCTAAAAACATGACATATTTAAAATATATATATATATATATATATATATATATATATATATATATATATATATATATATATATCATAATAAATACATGGGAATTTAATAGTGTTGCACCAATACCAGTATCAGGTGGGGCCCTAATCCAGAACTAAAATGGTGGTATTAGTACCTGCTTCAAAAAGGTAGGCAGCAGCTTGACAAAGCCATGATGGCAATTATTTTTCATCCAAGTAGTATGCAGTTCTTCAGATATACACACACATCAATTTCAAACAGATAGTATCGGTACTGGCCGAAAGTGCACAGCCAGGTATCGCATATCGGTAACAGGGCCAATAAATGGCATCGGCGCAACACTAGAATTTAATGATATAAATGTTTGTTTGGGATTGTTTTAAAACATGCTCTGTTCTGGGTATATTTTTATCCTCTTGCTTTCATCCTACTGATGACAGCAGCTAGCAACAAAATCATTAGCTTATTTTACTGCTTGGGTTGAACACCCAATTTTGGGCCTCCAAAACAAACCAAAAGCAATCCAACTCAGTTTAAACGTAATAGCCTAAAACTAACTGCTGGTTAAATTATCTTAGTTTATTAAATAAACCCACAACAGATCAAATATAAATAAATTTAACCTTAGATTACTAGCTGATATGTACTAGCATCTGTTACGTGCTAGCTCTCAGTCACACAGTGTTAAAGTCGTAGGGAAATGGCCGTTCCAACTTTGCATTTCCAAATTCTCCCGAGTGATGCACGACTTTACATGAGTGAATAAAGTGAATGTGATTGGTTGATTATCAAGGGGGCGGGATTGTTGTGACGGAAGGTTTGCAAGCAAGTTTGATTGTGTCCGGTTTGTCGGAAGCATCTTGCTAACCAGTTAGCAACTTAGTGCTAGTAGGTTCCCAATGGGAAATTCCATTGGGACCAAGTAGCACTAAATTGGTGACTTAGAAACGACACTGTCAAGGAACGCTATGGACAGAGGAAACATGCAAGAGGAGGAGAGTTTAGTGTCGGAGGTCGTGGATGAGTCTCCGCCGTCAGACCTTTTTTATTTAGAGGAGGAAAGCGGGGACAAAGTTGTCGTGGAAGAGGACGCCAGTGCGGCAGAAGTTTGGTTTGGTGATATATGATTGGCCGAATTTAGGTGTACAACTAACTGGCCTGCATAAGATAACGAGAAAAAGAACACACATTTTAAGACAGGATTTATTTTAGAAATTGAAATTTTCTAAATCTTGGGACAATATTGTCTGATAAAGAGTACATTTATATAGATGTTTAAGCCAAAATGATTTGACATTGAAAATACAATTACCCTACGACTTTAATATCAAGCTAATTCAGCTGAATGAGGAAAAAGAGCAAATACGTGTTTTACATTTGGTTTATTAGGCATCCAAAGGCTTCTCCAGTGATCTTTTTCTCGTATTACTGAGTGAAAAAAAAAAACTACTCTCAGCAACACACTAATCTGGATCGATCTTCGGTTCATTGCAGACCTAAAGTTAGAGATTTTGGTTGTTTTCAGGCGATTGTTGCTTCTTGAGATCTTTCAGACATCACAGAGATTCTATTTGATTCGTTATGTCTGCTGTCAGGTAGTAATCAGACCTGGGTTTGAATTTGTTAAACTGAGCTAACCTTTTTAAAAAATGTAGCTTAATCAAAGTCAATCCATAATTTAAAAAACGAAGGGAACATTTAATCTCCCCAAAAGTCAAGGTTGGTTTTACAGCTTATTTCCTAAAAAGAAATCATCCTTTTCAAAAAATGTTTTAGTTGATTAACTAAAACATTGAATTTAAACAGATTAATCAACTGAAACATTATAAGTGTGACAACAAAACAGAAGAAATCTGTAAGAGGATAAAGCTTTTGGAACCACAGAAAATGCTAATTTTAAAGCTGGACAATAGAAAAATGTGGGATGGTTTGTTTGGTTGCAATATGTTTTTCCACCTACTGGTTACAGTTGAACACACCACCTTCAGAAAGGAGTTTGGATGGAACATTACATGAAAATAAACTGTGTAAAATGTTTATTATGACATGGAAATTTGGCCCACTACAGGAAGGGAAAAAAATGTATTTTAATTTCAGGCCAGGGCTGCAGAAAAATAAAGCTACAGCCTGCTAGATAGGATAATAACTGCAGTGTTAATAAAAACAGTTTGATTTGGTGTTTAGTTCTGAAACCCCACAGTGATGTGAGCTACAACAGCAAATAGAAAGGAAACATTCCTGTGAGGGTGTGTGTGTGCGTCTTACAGGCTCTCCAGACTCTTGGTTCCTGTCAGATCTGGAAACTCTGTGAGTTCTGCTGCTCCATTCAGAGATCTGAGAGAAAAACCAGGCAGAGTTCAAGCTGGGAGAAGCAGATTTGGAGGAAACAGAAAATACTCTGGCCGCCTTTCAGTTTCTGAGTTACATTCTTTGTGTAATTAGCACCTGATTTAATGAGGCTCGGGCTAAATACTGAGTCACCTTAAACTGACCTTTTACTTTCCGCCTGTGGGTGAAAACAAGCTCAGAGGTTCAACTGGCTACTCTGGGAGTGCAGAGAGGAATCATACTGTTAATGCGACCTAGATGTGAACATTTTTGATGCACCACAGGCGAAGATAAACTACGGAAGCCGAGGGCGGTCGTTTCCCTCGGATACTTTTTCAAGAAGGTTTCCTCAAGAAAACAAGTTAATTTTCTCATTACCTAATTGTAACAAAACCATTGTCTCGTGATAACGAGATGATTGGTGTGTGTTAAAACTGATTACATCCTTCAATACCACAACAGCGGGAGAGGATTTATAAGTTAAGCCATGGCAGCCAATGTGCAATTATGAAAATAATCTTGTGTTTAACTTTTAGGTAACAAGATGAAGTTGTTGGTTTGATGATTTGCTTTTACTTCTGATTTATAAGCAATAAGACCTATGCCTCCAGTGCCTTTGCGCCGGGTGTTTTCTGAACAGCCCTGGTGTTAACAGGTATAAGATGCATTAACCCTCAAAATGAGTCCAGATTAAAGATTTTCATTGAAAGACAGATGTTTTTTCTACTCTATTCTATGCAATCCAATCATCCACCATGACCTGAGAATGAGTGAAAAGAAATAGGAAACTAAAAAATTTATTATTTGTGCACACGCTGTACCACAACTGCACAACTACGGGCCTCGCAGGCATGGATGGACTGGGAATCCAGGGCTGCTGGCCTGCCTCATTCATTACTCATACAGCTTAATTATCTTGTTATCTCGAGAAATCAATAACTGTTTTCTTGTGATAACGAGATAATTATCTTGTTATCTCGAGAAAACAACCTTTTAAATGTGATAATGAGATAGTTATGTCGGTATCTCGAGAAAACATAGGTAAAAAAAAGTTGACTATGACTGCTCTCAGCTTCCGTACAAAACACACAATTTTCTTGACATATTGTTTTAGTTTGGAAAACAGCTATATATATGAAGGAAAAATCTGTTGTCATGACTTGGCATAGCTTTAACAGCAAACTGTTATTTGACAAGTCACAAGATAAAAAGGCTGACTTTTAAAAATGGAAGTCCAGAAACTTCCAAGTAACCTAAAAATCCAAAATGGCGGCAGTCTGTATGTAACATTACAAAGCATTTTATTTCCATTTTTGGTTACATTCACAAACTCTGTTTTGTATCTATTTGTGAACTTAGCCTTAGCCTAGTCAAAGACAACTTCGCAACCAACTTAATACAAACATAAAAGTCAGGAAATAACTGCTGGTTAAACATTTGTAGTTTGTTAAAAAATAAAAATAAAAATAAAAATACCCTCAGACACAGTCGATATGTGCTAGCAACCATTGACATACACTTATATAAAAAATAAATGTTTTACAAGAATTTTTTTGAAATCATTTAGTGCATTTAAATATTCTTAGTGGGGTTAAGCGTAATGGAATATTCTCATAGTATGTACACTGCTCAAAAAAATTAAAGGAACACTTTGAAAACACATCAGATCTCAATGGGGCTAAAAATCATGCTGTTTATTTCTACTGATGTGGACTTGGTGATATTTTAGGAACAAAAGGATGCCACATCTTTTGATGGAAATGAAAATTATTAACCTAAAGAGGGCTCAATTCAAAGACACCCCAAAAATTACAGTGAAAAAATGATTCAGCAGGCTAGTCCATTTTGCAACTCAAAATGGAGTTCAGTAATTTGTATGGCCCCCACATGCGTGTATGCATGCCTGACAACATCAGGGCATGCTTCTAATGAGACCACAGATGGCGTTGTGGGGTATCTCCTCCAAGATCTGGACCAAGGCATCACTGAGCTCCTGGACAGTCTGAGGTGCAACCTGGCGGCGTCAAGTGGATCGAAACATAATGTCCCAGAGGTGACATGGATTTAGGTCAGGCGAGCGTGGGGGCCAATAAATGGTATCAATTCCTTCATCCTCCAGGAACTGCCAGCATACTCTCGCCACATGAGGTCGGGAAATTGTCGTGCACCAGCAGGAACCCAGGACCCACTGCACCAGCAAAGGGTCTGACAATGGGTGCAAGGATTTCATCCCGATACCAAATGACAGTCGGGGTGCCCTTGTCTAGCCTGTAAAGGTCTGTGCGTCACTCCATGGATACGCCTACCCAGACCATCACTGACTCACCACCAAACCGGTCATGCTGAAATATGTTACAGGCAGCATAAAGTTCTCCACAGCTTCCCAAACCCTTTAACGTATGTCACACGTGCTCAAGGTGAACCTGCTCTCATCTGTGAAAAGCACACGGCGCCAATGGCGGACTTGCCAATTCAGGTGTTCTGTGGCAAATGCCAGTCGAGCTCCACGGTGCCAGGCAGTGAGCACAGGGCCCACTAGAGGATGTCAGGCCCTCAGGCCACCCTTGTGAAGTCTGTTTCTGATTGTTTGTCAGAGACATTCACACCAGTGGCCTGCTGGAGATCATTTTCTAGGGCTCTGGCAGTGCTCCTCCTGCTCCTCCTTGCACAAAGGAGCAGATACCGGTCCTGCTGATGGGTTATAGACCTTCTACTGCCCTGTCCAGCAGTCCCTCTGCTGCATACCTAACCAAATCAATATCCCAGAAGTTTAATTAACTTGATGCTATACTCTGATTACAAAGCGTTCCTTTAATTTTTTTGAGTAGTATATATATACTGAATAGATACTATATGTACCGTAAATTCTCTAATATAGGCCCGGGCCTTTATTTCACTCAAGTGCATCGCGGTCCAGGCCTTTATTGGATA